CACAAAGAAGGGGGGCTTTAATAGTATTTGCTGACTTAAAGTGGGGTTGAAACAAATAATTAAGGTATGTCTAAAAGGTCACCAGGAGGGGGGGGGGAGGGGGGGTAAAAACGTTTTTTAGATAGAACTGGGGGAGGGGGGTGTGAATTTTTCCAAGGTTTTTTTCGATTTTTCCTCCAGCCCACCCTGACATAATTAATGAACAGTCCCTTATGCAGTCAGTATATGATATGCACTAGACGGTCAAGCATGTGGTTAACAAGCTCGACAAACGAGGTACATTCTGGTCTAGCTTGGATACAATCATCACCATATAAGACATTATTAAAATAAAGTGTTTCACCCAATCTAGACCAGCATGCTCGACGTTCATTAGTCCAGATTTAACATGACGTCATTTCCTGTCTAGTAGGAGATGTTCATCAGCTGAATCACAAGTTTTCAATAGAATTATTTTTGGCTGACAGCATATTCACCATTTTCCATACATTGGTTCACTGGTCAAACACAAAGCGCTCACGTGAGGCACCAAGGTACTTTCAAAGGATTATTCAAATTTGAACCTTGCAACCTCGACTGAATGCTTTGTGTTTGACCAGTGAACTGATGTAAGGAAAATGGTGAATGGTGGTCAGTGTTTGACAATAGTCTTGAACAGTTAATGAGATTTAAAGACTTTTATAAGGTGTTGAAACCAAGCAATACTGTGTGACAAATATCATGATTTAGTATTTTGTTTTGTCTTGATTTTCGTTTTTGTTTGTTTGAAAAAATCTGCAATGCCCCTGTAATTTTAGGGCCGTTTCTTGGGCTGCCTGTGGTAGCGCATACTTACACGTGATTGCTGGTCACTCATTTGCGAGTCGTGGTAGCTCATGGCGAGTTCCATGACGTGACGTTTTTTGTATACGTAATAGTCTTGAGCATCACGCAATCCCTCTACTAACAGCTGGAGGATCCACTGGCGTTCATTTCGGTGCTGAAGGACAGACATGATATAAGATACTGGTTTAGGGTTATTATTAACAGCTATTATTATTATTATTATTATTATTATCTTTATCAATTATCATCATCACCATCATCATCACCGCCATCATCACTATCAACACCATCACCATCACCATCAGTTATCATCCACATCATCACAATCACTACTGCCATCATCAACATCATAACCATCACTACTATTATCAACAACATCACCATCACCACCATATCACCATCACCACCAACAAACACCACTTCCACCTCCATCACCACTATCAATATCAGCACGTCCATCCCATCATCAATATATCACCATCATCATCACCATCTCTATCACCTCTACCCCCATCATCATACCATCATCATTATCGCCATCATCATCATCRTCGTCATTAGTCCTAAGAGAAGACACGTTCTGAGAGGGGAAAACATTACGAAAAAGATAAAAAGGTACTATTTTAGATCCAGAACAAGATGATACTTAGCAAGTGGTACCTGGAGGCTGCTAGAGTTGAAAAGAGTGTAAAACAGCGGGACTTCTCGTAAATCCATCACAGCACGTTGAAGAAGAAAGCTATTGACCAACACGTACATCTGGTTCTCTGGAAAAAATGATTTAAAAAAACTGAATAAACATATAAAATACGTATCATAACATATGTATTTCACGGTGACATGGGTGGAGTAACAGTAAGACGTCCACCCTCAAAGCCACTTTAGGCTTAAGAAACATGTTCAGGTTCAGTGGACTACTTCGACGATACGGCGGCCATCTTGGATCGCAATGCATTATGGGGCGTACAGGGGGCAAAAAAAGCTTTGTTACAGTAATGACGTCGATTGATATTAACAGCTCACCACAAGAGAATACAACAAAATATTAATTTAGACGGCATATCGATCACATTTAACCATAAAAAAAAGACAAACAAACGAAACTATATATATTTTCCGTCATATTTGTTTTGTTCTGCTGTTCTACAAAATGGCCGCCGTATCGTCGAAGTAGTCCATTATTGTGGGTGCCCCATGAAAATAGAGCCATTTGTTTGATGCGTTTTTCTCCCATAGAAGAACAACAGAGCATTGTCGCTAGACTCACCAGGGTGAAGCATCACGTACGCAGCACGGGATACGAATCGCGTGATCACGCTAGAAACACGCGCATTGACATCAGTGATGCCATTCTTCAGACTTTCGAGTAACAGGTATACCTGAGATCGAAAACATTAAAAAACTACATCTCATCAGATCGCCAAATAAGAAGCAGAGAGGAAGTATTTCAAGGAGGTGAGCATAGCCGTGTGTGGTCGTATAAAGCTATTTCAAAAATTGTTTGTAAAGGCTTTGCAGCATGTTGCATGCCCGGGGGGAGGGGGGGATGCTCGTCGTATCTCTTAGGGGTAAAAATTCGCGATTTGGTATCTTTTTGGGAGTTAAATGCGAATTTTTGAAAATCAGCATTTTCTGGTATCTCTTAGGGTGTCGGAAAAGGAGAGAAGCGCGCATCGATATGGCTTATCCTAGGCGCTTTTTATATAAAATTTAATATTATTTGTTGTGGTATCTCTTATGGGTTAAAAATCATTCAGCCACGCCCTTTTTTAAAGACTTCCGGTATCTTTTAGGGGTCTTTTTGAAAATTTCCGACGAGCATCCCCGGTACTTTTTTCCAGGAGTCCTCCCCCCCCCCCGGGGGTTGCATGTTATTAAGTTTGAATATGTTATTGAATGTATGTATATAGACTGTCTCGAAGTCCGCCACCCTTTGTCGGGAGAAAAGAGAGTCTGACTTGAAGCAAGTCTAGTACGCATAATAAGTTTGAATATATTATTGCATTTATGTATATAGAAATCTTCTTTACAAAGAGATTTGATAGCTCTAAACAAACCTGTTTCTTCTCTCGAAAGCTGGCTGCGTCCATGTGCACTAAACACCTGGATAACACGTGACTGGCCGCTTTACGCATGCGCTCGTCACGTGACGATAATGCTGAGACAGTATATCCCAGGCCTCCTCGTTCGACAAACTTGCGACAATCGACAACAGAATCTAAAATATTCAAAAGCTTAAATAAGAGAAGTACATTCATTGTGCCCGCCTAGAAGAATTCGAGACACTGATAAAGTTATTATTATTATTATTATTATTATTATTATTATTATAATATAACATCGTCATTTTCTTTTGTCATCGATTATCATCAACAGATCTGAAGAACAGATTTGAAGGTCGTTGAAATTTTTTAATCTATAACTTTACTGTCAACATCAACCACCAGCAACGACTACACTATTATCATCAAAATCATTATAATGATTCCCTTCATTTTATTATCATCATCCACTAGCAATAACAACATTATCATTATCATCATCATTTTCTACACCATCATCGTCATCATCATCATCATTTCTAATAGTTTATTATAATCTTAATTATCATAATCATCGTCAATCAACATCTAAAATGTCTCTAAGATCATCATCGTAATCATAATTTTAATCATATATTATTGACTATCATCATCATCATATTCATTATCTCCACCATCATCACTACCATTGTTACCATCATTATCATCATAAAGTCATCATTTCATCAAAATGATAGTAAATAAAAGAAATCATCCTCAAGGGAATGAAGATTGCCTTGACTTACTTTGAGAAAGAAGATGGCAGAAGAGAGGAAGAATAAAGCACGGGTCATAGAGAGAGGAAAGGTTATCCTTGGCTGCCACATCACTTTGAACACGAGGCTGGAACAAGAAACAAGAGATTTTTAGAAGGTTCTATAATCTACCTTGTATAGACCTATCACGCGGCACCCATGTTGGGTGGAACAATAGATTTTCTCGTGTGGCCTCAAAATCAATCACTTCAAAATGACGCTACCAAAATGTCGAGGGTGATCATGGCGTTTATTACAGTAACGTAGTGTCGACTTACTTTTACATCACATCGTTTTACTATTAAGTGATAAAACTACAACACAAAAAACAGCATACCTTTTCCTAAAAAATGTGTACCTGAGTCAACTTAGTTGTATCCAATAGACTTTCTTAGACCTTGGGCGTAATGTTGTCCCATTTCAGACCATGTGTCATTCTCTTGAGAATAAGTTCCTTCGTTTGAGTCGTATCCATATTTAAGTGTCTTCTCATGCACAACAGTTAAACAAAGAAATAATACTCTAGAGAATGACATGTGGTTTGAAATAGGACAATCGAGGTCAAGAGGTCTATATATTGGCTTCAGCAGCTTTTTGATCCAGGTACACTATTATGGGAGGGGAGGGAAAATGATATTTATATTTACCCTTAGTTTTCGTTCCAATGGGAAGTCAAGTGCAGAGCGGTTCAAAGTCGTGACGTCAAGTAATTCTAACACCTCATTGGTGCTGGGCTGTTGCCATAGTGATGGTCCTTGGATCTTTTTGATTTTATGATGATCTAGGGCTGCTTTGCCCCACAAATACGGCCTACAATAAAATAAAAAATAAAATTATAACTATTGATCCAAAATTTCCGAGATATCATACCAAAGCTCTGAAAATGAATTATATGAATTATATAAAAGATTTGTACTATTTCAGTTTCGAATACTCGAGTTTCGAGCTATTCATGGTTGGCCTCCATTTTGTGTAGAACATTCATGTGTTCCAGTGAAGATCCGTGGAATTTCAAAGTGTTTGTAATGTTGAAGTTATGCATTCTTTACTTTTTTTCATACTTTTTTCGTTGCAGTATTTTTTGTTTAAAGTTCTCATTGCTGAAGGTGGTGGTAAAATACCTTGTAATGACATTTTCCCTTCATGTTAGCAGTTTTATATGCAACTAAACCCGGAAATACGTCATATAAAAATTCTGGCCTTGCTTCCGGTAAATAACAGGCGTCCGCGTCTACTTATCAAAATGAGCGGGGAAAATGGAATACGTAAAAAAGCGGGAATCGTCGTTTTTAAATTTAAAACATGAATCAGTCGTAATAAATAATAGAATAAGTTTTACCTAAAACTAGATAAGGGCACTTGCGCTCTTTCGTAAAGATGAAGCAAATACAGGATACTCTGATCTGAAATGACAAAATTTAGATAAATTTTAATTCTTTTATTTATTTATTTACTTACTTACTCACTTACTCACTTACTCACTTACTCACTTACTCACTTACTCACTTACTTACTTACTTACTTACTTATTTACTTACTTACTTATTTTAATTTTTTGTAACATTTTTCCTGGATTTCTCAAAAATTATTGTTTTCTACTTTGCTTGATTTCGCCATTCGCTAGCATTTGCTTATCGAATATACTCGTTACCTTTAGGAGCTAGTGTGCCTTACCTGTTTTACTAAGAGTTGCAGTGTAAGACCCAAAGAAAACTGGAAGATGAGAGGACTCACAACACTCAGGACACAGTTCAGCTATGGCAACGACCAGTTCTAGCAGGGATTCTAAGGAATAAATCATTATACTTTTAGCCGATAATATGATTGTTGTGGATAAGAAGAAGACATATGACACAACTCAAACAAAGAATCTCTTTGTGGTCTGTAATAGGGAAACATTACGTCCAAGCAAGATAATATTAAGTTTGGTTTGTCAACTACATGAAGCTTGCTTGTCACTGCCGATCTCTTGTATACCCATGACGTCACTACAATCTGACTAATCAGGAATCGCATGCTAAAATAGCTCAGGCTTGCGCGCGGAGCTAAAAATAGATTTCCATAAAACTTTCATGGGGCACAGGGATGTGCTCTCTTACTTCATATTCTCTTGTTCCAAGCTATTCATTGAGGTTTTTAGGAAKAAAAATGGCAGTCTGCGCGCCATTTGCCACATAACTAGGGTTGCCAAAAAACAACCATTCAGATCCAAACACAGCACCAGCAATATCACTCACCTTTAAGCTTAACGTCACTCTGTTCATTATCCTCCAACATAATGTCAAGGAACTTAGAGTGGCTCAAGATCAGTTGATACATAGTGGTCAGCGGAAATTCTCGAGCCAAACTCTCATGTTTGGTAGAGTTGTACAGCGGTTTTACGCAGGCTGTCATGCACTGTAGTGTCACTGTGCAGTCAAACCTATACCTGTAAGCCAATAAGACAAAACATGTCAGAACTGCGCATGCGTCAAGGATAAAACGCAGGTTTTCACGTGCAAGGCAAAATGCAAGACCAATAACTTCTTCCATGGCGTTCATTCTACTGCGCATTCCTATTTTATTTTTGCTTGCGTTTGACGTGTCAACCCTGTACTTGCGTTGCCATTTCCGCTGCTCGAGTGAACCAGGCTTAAATTTATCCAAAAATCGGAACCCACTTTAATCTTATTATTTTTCACTCTTACTTACTTCAAACAGTTCTTGACAAAAGTAGACCAAGCTTCAACTTCAACCAATGAATCCTCTCCTTGCAGTAGCCAATCCTGTGTCACAAATAAGAAGTTGAGTAGACCAATCAAATTTTAGGATAGATTGGGTTCAAGAGAAAATAAACTAAGGGAAGGAATCCCTGCGCTCCATGAGCGCCCTTTGATGCTATTCTTAGAATCATTGATACTTTTTTTAGAATCATTTTCTGTTGTTTGATAAGTTTGAAAAGTTAACGCTGGAGAGGCTTTGCACCGTCACGTAATATGGCAGCCATGACAAAAGGCACAACAATAGAGTCTTTCTCCCTGGTGAAATTTCAACAAATATTTCTCATGTAAATCAGATTAGAACATATTCCATCGTTCCTGCCCCCTGTCATGGCTGCCATGACGTGATGGTCCAGAAACTCTATTGACTATGGACCAAGTAATAAGGAATTCAAGTGTGTTTTGCGATTTTAGAGCTTTAAAACCTACCGAGTGTGTAGAAACGATGTCCAAGAGCATGGAGACAGCATGGGTGATGAGTGATTTGTCGTCGACTGGGACAAGTCAACAACATATAAAATAAAATAAAACAAAATGAGTAAAGGAGGAAAAAAGGAAGAAATGGGGGAGGAAGGAAGGGAGGAAGGAAGGAAGG